ACACACACACACACACACACACACACACACACACACACACACACACAAAACCAATATCAATAAACATATGACTTTAAAATAAAGTTAACAGAAGATTAACTTCTAACTACAATAGAGACTATGCTTATCTCTTTAGCTGTATGTGTAAATGGAATGTTGTGGAAATGTTCCCTCCATGCACCAGCTGGCCTGTCCTCTTTTTCTTTTCCCTTGGTCTTGGCCACTCATGGAAGGAGGATTAATAAGGAACCATCAACTATTAAAAACACACACACACAAACAAATATTACAAATGAAGACGTTAAAAACCACTTAACGGTCTCACTAATAATGCTAACATTTAAAAAATATATTTGTTTTTTATTTTATGTGTATGAGTGTTCTTCTGCCTGTAAGTATGTATGTATAAGCCACCTGGTGCCTATAGAGGCCAGAAAAGGAATTAGATTTTCTGGAACTGGAGTTACAGGTATTTGTGTGATGACTTATGGGTAGTGGGAACTGAACCCAAGTAGAATAGCAAGTATTATCAACAACTGACCAATTGCTCCAGCCCAAAGTACAGTATTTTAAAATAGACATTAAACAGAAAAAGAGCATAAAAATGTATCAAATTCTAAAACCAGGATCTTCTAGGACATTAAGAAATGCCTTTCTGTTGGGTGTTGGTAGTACATGCTTAAAATCCTAACAATCGGAAGGCAGAGGCAGGTACAGCTCTTGTGAGTTTGAGGTCACTTTGGTCTACAGAGCAAGTTCCAGGACAGCCAAGGCTACAGAGAAATCCTGTCTTGAAAAACAAAACAAAAGAAAAGAAAAAACAAAACAAAACAAAAAAACAGAAAGAAGAAACACCTTTATATTCTTTTTTATTTTTATATTTAAGATTTAAATGAGTTTCTGTCTGTGATTGGGTATATGCATACGTGTGGAAGGAGGCTAGTGACTTCTACACAGGCAGTTGTAATATGCCCAACATGGGTGCTGGGAATTAAATGAGGTTCTGTACAATACGGCTCTCTTAACCACTGAGCCATCTCTCTAGCACCAATAAACTTCTTTCTTAACCTTTAGTACACTGTCTATAGTTTGATTTTAAAACAATTCTAAAATACTTATTAAACTGTCAAAAATAACTCTCAAATCTCAAGATTTTAATAAATTAACCTAACCTTAATGCTTATACAAAACTAGTCTAAAAATCAAGTGCTTATAATTCTCTACTCCCTTTGAAATAAATACAACCCATCCTGAGGAGAAAGTGTCTACCTATTCCACAAAGTACTTTTCTTATATTAATTTATTTATATCTACATGTAACAAGAAGTACTCCAGGGTTGGGTCTGGTGGTTCCATCCTCACTATCTCAACACTGGAGGTTGAGGCAAAAGGACTGCCATGACTTGAGGCCAGCTTGGGCAGTGCTCCGGTAAGCCCACCACAGCTGGATCCTTAGAACCACATGATTGGATGTGAGAGAACAGGAGAGATGGAGAGAACTGGCTGCACTAAGTTGTTCTCTGACCTCCACGTGTACATGGTGGCACACATGCCCCAACAGCAATGACTACAAAGTGCTCTCTAGGGTAATAATGACAGATAACCCTTGTATGCACAGAACTGAGACTCTAGTTGACAAAACAGCACCATAGGCTGGTGATGCAGCCCAACGGCAAAGCATCTGCTTAGTGTGTACCATGCTCGGGATTCAATACTCAGAACCACACCAAAAAAAAGAAAAAAAAAAAAAAAGAAAGAAAGAAAGAGAGAAAGAAAGAAAGAGAGAGAGAGAGAGAAAGAGAGAAAGAGAAAGAGAGAGAAAGAAAGAAAGAGAAAGAAAGAGAGAGAGAGAAAGAAAGAAAGAAGAGAGAGAGAGAGAGGGGGGCTTGTAAGTAAGAAAGGAAAGAAGCATAAAAACTATATTTTTAATTCAAACGATTAATGAGGAAAATCTGTTTTACATGTTGCAAAATTTAATAATCAAAGTGTTTCATGAAAGTCAATACAAATTTTAACATATTATATGATTTTCTACATAGCATCACTGATTCTGAAAATCTCTTTCCAGCAGTCTTTGATAACTATTTATATAATGACACACATGCAGGCACACAGCAAAACCATCCAAAGATGATGATTTGAAAAGTAGATGTCTAACTAAAACTGTGAAACAGACATACATCACTTTCTTTGAAAGGTGCTAGACCACAATCCCCTTAAGATAGTCAAGGCATCAAACATTCCTGTTATCTTACAAGTCTAGGTTAAAACACTTAAAATAAAATGAATTAAATTAATTAAAGAAATAAAAATAAAAGACAATTAACTAAAAAATACAAAAATCACCATGAGATAAATACTTGGTCACAATATTCTTCACTGCTTGATAACACAATCTGAGTTTTAGTAGAGACTTCTCATACACACACACACACACACACACACACACACACACACAGGTAAGGGTTTTACCCACCAGGAAATTTTTTCTATGCCAAAAGTGGTAATTACTATGCATTTGAAATTCACATTAAAGGGATGATCTCACACTTAACAAAGTATCCTTCCTCTTATATTTAACTTCATCTTCACTAAACCTTACTCCATTAGTAACTATGAATTTTAGCACTTCACATATCATGAATTGCTTTCAGGAGATAAATCTTAGTTTACTGCCATTTTAATATTTCTCAAGTTCCCATGTACTAAGTTCAAGCAAAAACTCTATTAAAAAGTAGCAAGCTACTTAATGGAGAAGACAGATACCCACACAAGATTTAAAACAGACCAAAGCTTACCTCCCCATGTACTTGCTACCTGAGGAGCAGCTGGCATCGTATGGACAGATGGATGAAAAGTTGGCTGCTGCAAATCAAGCAGGTCATTTGGCAGCTTAGATGTGCTAGGAAAATATTTTGGAAAGCAGTTTTATTTCTAGATGAACTCTGCTGTGTTAATTTGTCTCCTACCCCCTTTACTCAAAAAAAAAAAAAAAAAAAAAAAAAAAAAAAAAAGCAAAATGCTTCAATGTAAGCCTAAAAAAATAAGTAATTCTACCAAGGTAACAATGCATGCTCCTCATTTAACATAATTCTAAGGAGGCCCAGAAAAATACTTGAGCACCACGTCTTAAATTTCTATTGAATTTGAGTAACAATACCTTTTCTGGAAAGACTCAATGAGGTTCCCAAGAAAATAGCCATTCCCTTACATTATATTCCAATTAATAATTAGTAATTTAAGCAGGTTGTGGTGACACACGCCTATAATCCCAGTGCTCAGGGAGGCAGAGGCAGACAGATCTCTTTGAGTTCAAGGTCAGCCTGCCTCGTCTACAAAGTGAGTATAGGACAGCCAAGGCTACACAAAGAAACTCTGTCTCGAAAATATCAATCAATCAAATTAGTAATTTAGCCATATTCCATTTCCTAAGCATACAAATATAATCTTTTTATTTTACATTTAGATAGTATATTAATTGTATTTACTACACCCTTTCTATTAATTTGTAATTACAAAATCACAAACGAAAGCAAACTCACAGAATCTAAAGCACATGATTTGAACATGCTCTTTTACTAAATACTTAGACATCCTTAGTCCCCACTGCACCTGTTAGATGAACTAGGGGTAGAAAATATGTCGATGGCTGGAGCAGTCATTATTCCCCCTGCTGATGTGGACACAGGAGAGGCTGCAGTTGTTAAAGAGGTATGTGGTTTCTTTGCAAGTTCTTTTAGACGCTGTTCCTGTTGAAAAAGAAAGTTTAACGCATCTAAAACTAGAGCTGTTGGTACAGACTCTAAAAAAGGACATTTTCTAATTCTGCTGTAACAGATGAAAGGTGCTCCCTGACTTTTCACCAAGCATTCTGGTGAGTATGAAACTGAGTTTCAGCCTGTAGGATTGCTACACATTTAAAAACCCAAGTGTGGCTAGAGGTTCATTTACATGATTCCCTTCTACTTGATGTTCCAAAAAGAAGGCCCACACTTAACTTACCTTTAATGCTTTTAAGCGAGCCTGTTCTTCCTCCAATGCTGCCTGCTTTTCCCTTTCATCCACTTTGGTCAGAGATAGGCCAGTGCTTGCCAAAGAAGAGACTGCATTGGAAAGTGTTGTAGCCCTAGGGTGAGAGGATAAAAGTAATCCGGCTCTGTGCTAAGCACGTCTTATCTATAACACAGATAAAATGAAGTGGATCTGCTTTTGAGAAATAATGAGTTTATGGACTTAAAATTAGTACATCAGATAGAATCTTCTCCCCAGTGACCTAGAAAATTCCAACAATTTTAACACGGTACACTGAAATGCAAATCTGTGGCTTTTAGAGTTAGACTCTAGAAAAAATTACAACACTGGCACACACGGTCTCTCCCGAGACACAGAAGCAACATTCTTAGAAGAGTCCTAATGGAAAACAACAAAACTGATTCAGTTTCTCAGAGACAGCTCCTATACCAATTAACACCCGGGCTTTTGACAGCTATACCACAGTAACACTGAAGCTTGATAACCAACACTAAATCTCTACAATAACACTCAAAAGCTATCCAGTGATGTCAGGCTCCTTAAAAAGGAATACTGACTTCAATAAGTCATCAGGCTATGTGGCACCTCCTTTCTATATGCTTGCTACCTTTCTGACAAATCAGAATTCTCTTTTCAAATCTATTACATATGCACAACTAGCCATCTACTTCCCACTTTGTAAAGATTCATCCATACTAAACCATGAACCAAAATTAAATTTTAGGATAAAGAAATACACCTGGCCTCAATTTATCTTCCTTTTTCCACATACTACACACTTGGGCAGGGACTTCTCTGTGATTACTACTTCTCTAATTACTACTGTAAATACATAAAGTAGCAAAAACTAATCTAATTTATGTAAAATCAGTATTATAAATAAGCCAAGGAGAAGACAATGGAAGTCAAATAATTCTGACAGAAATAAAGAAGCCAATCATATCAAGATACGTATCTGAGGGTAATCAGTATACCTAAACCATGCGATTGATTTTTTAAATTACTTTCCTATAACCAACTGGGCTGTAACATCTTGAAAATTACAGTACTTCGAAAAACCTACTCTAAAATAAAAATACTGCACAAAATATTACTTAAAAATTCACTAGTGGCTGTTCCACTTTGGGTGGGGTGGGGTGGGAGAAACGTGCCTGCAGAGCAGAAGTCTTTCAGCGTAGCCCAGAATTGGCCTTAACTTCAATAGAGCTCAAGCTAGATTCAAAGTTGACTTCCTACTGCTTCACCTTTCCCAGTTCTGGGATTATAGGTAAGAGCCACAGTATCTGACATTGTTTAAATTGTCTACAGGACAGAAGTCACCAAAAAAAAAAATAAATAAATAAATAAAAATAAAAAAAAAAAAAAATAAAAAAAAATATATATATATATATTTCACAGATTAAAAAAAAAAACACTAACAAATAGGAACCAAGGGAGGATACTTAACTCCCACTCATAAGTAGAAATAGAATATAGACACAGCTGAAGTGTTGAAGAGAGGAAACAGAGTAAGAGAGCATGGAGAGAAATGAGGGTCGATATTAGACCTGGGGAGAGCACATGGGGGTGGGGATGGGGGTGGGGGACAGAGGGTTTGCAGAGAGAAGAGAAACCCTGGGCAGGGACTTCTCTGTGACAAGCTGGAGACCTATGACAGGGTAGGCTCCTGGGAGAATATGAGGGTGACTCTATCTGAAGCTCCTAGTAACAGGGGTCATGGAGACTGAAAAGGCTACCCTATGACTAACATGAGACTCACCCCATGCAAGACAGTGAACCCTGACATGATTATTAATGATACTCTGCTATGCTTGCAGCCGCTAGCCTAGCATAGCTGTCCTCTGAGTGACTCCACCCAGCACATAATGGAAACAGATGGGGGAGCACAGGGAGTCTTGTGGAAGAATGGGGGAAAGACAGAATGACCCAGAGGGGACAGGCGTTCCCAAAGAAGACCAACAGAGCCAACTAACTAGGACCCAAGGGGGCCTGTGGAGACTGAAGCACCAACCAAGGACCATGCATTGATTGGACCTAGACCCCCTACACAGATGTAGCCGATAAGCAGCTTGTCCTCATATGGGTTCCCTAGTAAGGGCAATGGGGCTAACTGAAACAAACTCTGCTGCCTGCTTTGGATCACCTTCCCCTGGCAGTGCTACCTCACCAGGCCACAGGGGAAGTGGTTGCACTCAGTCCAGATGTGACTTGATATGCTGAAATAAGCGGGTGTATGGGGGCTCCCCTTCTCCGAGGAGGTGAGGAGGGGGATAGGAGAAACAGGAAGAGGAGGTAGACAGGGAGAGAGGAGGAAGCTATGACAGAGATGTAAAATGAATTTTAAAAAAAGGAGAAAAAGTAAAATTAAAAAAATAAATAAAAGATCTTGGGGAGAGAAACAAAGGAAAAGTCTCACTGTATACTTTATATATTATTTTAAATAGATAAAATCTTTATAAGAAAACAATTACTCAGGCAATTACTAAAACCAACCAAAATTGTATTAAAGTATCAAAACAAGATAATTTCTGTTATTTTAAATTTGTTTGGTAAACTGGGGATAAGCTCAAAACTTGAATTGATTAAAATAGGAGATGACAATCAATCTCATCAAAGGGCATAAAAATTGAAATATGATGTCAGATATTCTAGGCTTGAATCCTAGTATTACTACAGTATCTACTGTGGGGTATTTTAAGGTCTGAGTAAATTAATACAAAATTACCCTTTAATTTTGAAGCAACATACACACTAAACTATGATGTTTATGGTTAAGTTTTAATATTGAAGCCACAATTCCCAACCAAAGCTTCACTGTTATCATTATAAAATACATCAGCACTTGCTGATATCAGGAACTAAACAAGAACTGAAATGCATTAACCCCATGGAATCTTGTTACTAATTCTAATTACTAATGAAGATGTCACTCATATTAATTTAAACCTACCTTATAGATAACTAAGTCAAAATAGAGAAACAACTTGGAACTTGAGCTGTTTTCATATACTCCTTCCACAAAAAAAAAAAAAAAAAAAAAAAAAGTACCTGCTTGCAGCTGTGGAATCTTTGATTTTCTTCCCTTCCAAGGAAGCTAAATGTTGTTCTAAAGCATCAAGAAGACTGCTAGGGGCCTGAAAGTATTCAAATATTAAGAATTTCATAAACATTACACCATTTGACAAAATAAATAAATCAGACATCATCTCATGATAGCAATAAAAACATATTCCTCATGTACTAATTGCAGGTGGGCATTTTTCTAACTACTGAAATTATAATCTTTTATTATTACCATTATAATTATTACTAGTTGAAGTTCCTAATAAGCATCACCAAAAATATAAGAAACGAAGATAAGTGTGAAACCTAAGAATCTCACAGAACCTAAAATATTGAAATATTTAATACATGTAAACTTTCAGTAAAAACATTATTGAGAATACAGCAGCTGTGTATTTTAGTTTGCATATAAACTGACGGGTTCCAGGTCTGGCAAAAGGGTTCTTCAGTGAGTAAACACACTTGCAGTGTAACCAGAGCTGACACTTGGGAACAATCCTCTGACTGCGACCATGTGCTGTGGCATATGCTTGCCTGCAGTCACAAATGCAGCACACGTAACTCCAGGGGACTCAAGGCCCTTTCCTGGTCTCCCCGGGCACACATGGCATATATTCATATAGACATATATGAATAAAACAAAATTTTCTTAAAAATAAACTATCAAATGACCCAGCTATAATACTAAATCAACATACCAGAGACACTTGTTGTTTGTGTTTATTTATTAACTGCTACCAGTAACTATGGTATAGCACCTATCTCGAGCTCTGTCAATACATGAATAAATTTTAAAACATGCAGTATATAAACAGTGAAATTTTACTCAATTGTTGTGAAATGAAATCATGATACTGTCAGGATACCATCAAGTTAAAGGAAGCCAGACTCAAATACTATGTTTTCAGCCATATGTGTATCTTTATATTTAAGAATTATGCATGTGTATCTTTAAAACTAAATAATTCCTAGAGGAAGAAGAGAAGCTTGCAGGACTCATGAATATTAGAGGTTTACAAGGTCCCTCCCCAGGACTATGTAACTATTTAATATCTATCAGGAAAAAGGAGACTCTAAGAAGAAACTGCCTCAAAGCTTGATAAGAAACTTGACAGGTGCAGTTTTTGCAGGTCATTACCCATGTGGGGTGGGCTTCTCCACAGTGCAACTGTCATGGTGTAGAAGTAGAAAGGCTCACCAGAGTAAGAGATCAGCTGACCATTCATTGTATATATCATGTTAAAAAGCTTTTCAGCAATGCACTAGAACATTCAAACTATGAGGAAAACCGAAATACTCTCAGTAGGTGTCACTACAACAACACTCATCTTGGCAGTGCGGCGCACGTGACGGTGAACACATGCTCTAACTCTCTACTCACCTGTGAAAGATCTGGAATATCTCCTCTGTCAATCCCAACTTGCTGCAACAAGAAAGGCTACATTTAACATACAAAATTATAAACAACATGAACATTACCTCTTCTATGTGACATATAGTAACACTGGAGAGGGAGGGAGGGAGGGAGGAAGAGAAGGGAGGGAGGGAGGAAAGGAGGGAGGGAGGGAGGGAGGGAGGAAGGAAGGAAGGAAGGAAGGAAGGAAGGAAGGAAGGAAGGAAGGAAATCTAAACCAGGCACAGTGGCACATGACTGTAATCCCAGCACTCAGCAAGGCAGAGGCAGGCGGATCGCTCTGAGTTCAAGGAAAGCCAAGGCTACACAGAGAAACCCTGTCTCAAACCCCACCCCCAGAGCGAGGGGGGCGGGAGAAGTAGGAGGGAGGGAAGGAAGAACCTAATGACACCAACCTGCCTTAAACCAATTTTCTTTTCATTAAAAAAAAGTTCACAGGGGTCTTTTCTGAAACTGATACTCCAGCCAAGGACCACTCATAGTGATGGCCTGGAACCCCTGCACAGAGGTAGCCCATGGCAGTTCAGTATCCAAATGGCCTCCATAGTAATGGGGACAGGGACTGTCTCTGACATGAACTGATTGGCCTGCCCTTTGATCACCTCCCCCTGAGGGGGGGAGCAGCCTTACCCAGGCCACAGAGGAAGACAATGCAGCCACTCCTGATGAGACCTGATAGACTAGGGTCAGAGGGAAAGGGGAAGAGGACCTCCCTTTTCAGCGGACTGGGAGAGGGACACAGGTGGAGAAGAAAGAGGGTGGGATTGGGAGGAGAGGGAGGGAGGGAGGGAGGTACAAGGGGGATACAAAGTGAATAAACTGTAATTAATAGAAATAATTAAATAATAATAAAAAAGATAAAAATTACAGAAAAAAAGTTTCCCCTGACAACTTAAAACCTACTATTTGGGAGACAGTGAGATGGCTCAGCAGAGAAAGGCACTTTGTTGTAAACCCCGGGAAGATAGGTTTGATCCGTGGGAATCACATGATAAAAAAAGAACTGACCCCCACTGCGTTGTTTTCTGACCTCAACACAAATGCCATAGCACTCAAGTGGCCCAAACACAAATAAAATACACATATTTTAAAAACCTGTTCTAGGTTTTTCATAAATGTCAAGTGATATTTAACCAGGATATAACTACCTCCACAAAACCTCAACATATTCTTCATGGTGTTGAGGCATTAGATAACTGCCAACAAAAGCAATTACAAATACAAATATCTTCCTATGTATTTGAGGGCTTAAATTAGAAACCTGTATTTCTCCCCTGACTATGTTTTATTTTCTAATCCTAGTCCTCTTTTTCTCAACTTTTAAGAGTTTCAGAATAAAGTCAGTAAAAAGTCTTAACTCATTCATATTTAGATACTAACAGCTCATCCCTCAGACTGAGACAACTGCTCCCTTAGAACACATTCCAAGAGATTACTGTTCCTTTATTTTAAGAACTAAAACCTTTAATAACACTGCAAGCCCAAAGACAGTCTCAGAACATTTTACAGCAGAATCTATCATATATTTTAGATCACATGAACAGATAATACATTCCATTGGTGTCAAACCTGCAACCTTAACTACGGGCTTCAAATGCATGACAATAACTGTAGCCACCAAATACAAAGAATAAGAGATCATAAAGGAAAGTCAACAAATTAAACCTTACTGAATAACAGTACCATAAACCCTGCCTGCTTAAAGTTTTAATATGTGACTAGTACTGAGGAAATAAGCAGAAACCAGATTTCTCCCTTGAAAGACTTTCTGAATCAAAACAAATTTGTATGGGCATCATCAAACAATGAGGTCATTTCATTTGCTAAAGAATAAACTATCACAAGGATAACAATGCCTAGAGTCACTATCTTGGTAGTTGCAGAAGAATTACTTTAATCTAAGTGACTGAAATATTCTAAAGAGAGGGGGCATTTCTAACAGTGATGACTATAGGGTAAAGAAAGAGGGTAAAGATTTTCATAAAGAACTTTCTGAACTGTCTCTGCTAACATAAAAGATGCCTGTAAATATTACAACTGTCTTCTATGCCAATTTCATAAAAACTACTTTTAAGAGATTTACAAAATTATATTATCATATAGCCTTTTCATATTCAATAAAGTATATAAAATTCACTGTGTAGGAAAAAAAAAATTGAATTACGTGGCTCCAGTTGCAGGCCTGTCTGAAGAACTTAGGCTGACTTTCAGCCTTTCCCACCACCACCAACAGAATAAGCCTTCAAAAATGAATGGCTAATTCCAAACACAGACATCACTGCTACAATCATACACATTCTTATTTTGTAAAGATGTATGCGGTGCAAAAGTTGACTACTTTCATCATCTCATATAAATTCAATATACAACACGTATTTTATTCACTATTGTCACATTAATACAATTTAGCAAAACAATAGTGCATATTAATATTACTTGATATATATTTTTTATATTGAGATTACTTCTTTCATTTGGGTAATGATTTCTTCAAAAGCCATACATATAAACAAAAGTATAAGGTCTTTCAAACAGCTTACCTCTGCAACTTTCAGAAACTCTGAGATTCTTGTCATCCTAGTCAGGAACTTCTTATAGATGTCAAGACCTTCTTTGCACTGGTTCTTTTTCATATCAAAATATTTTTCTGCCCAAAGAAATATGAAAATGCTCTTATTTAACGACAAAAAAAAACCCAAACAAACAAAAAAACGAAAAACAAAAAACTAAAAGTTTCCCGAAAAAGAAAAGACTAGATAGTATCTCCAAAAATGTGACAATTCTCTCAAAGGACTTAACCTACAACAAAAATTAGTGCTGTTTGGATACTTGAAGCAAATTTGAATCAAAGTCCTAGTAGGTTAAAAATACAAAAATTGCTGGAAAGGACTCATAATACTATTTTACTCACAATACTGCTTTGCTCACAATTTTAAGAACATATATTTGCATGTAAACACACATTTTACTCCATTGACTAAAATCTACTTATATTTTATTAATAATATACCAGTATTAACATTCTAAGGGGACAACTTCATCCAATGTCACTTCAAAAGTTCCCTTAGTTTGTACACAGCAATACAGAGCTTCACATTTGCAAATATCAAGAAGTTGAAGACCACAATTTTCACAGCTGTATCTGTTCAGTTTTGAAGTACCCCTCCATATATTTGTGTTATCCTAGTCTATGAAAACCACATTTAAATAAACTATCTAAAGAAAGGGGGCATACTAGAATAAAAATACTTGGTGTCTGATACTAAATACCATGGCACTTTTTGTCATGGCTTGTCTACTCCTAACTCACAACTGCCTGCAGCTCCAGCTCCAGGGGACCTATCTGGCCTCCACAAACACCCGACCATACACACGGCATAATAGAGATTCATACAAACATTAACACAAATTAAATAAGTGAATCTTTAAATAGAGGATTTATATGCAAAACAACTATTTCAAATACATCTTGGTATGTGAGAAGGTATGTAAGAAGGTAAGATTTCTTACAATCACAAATTCTTAAAATTACTTAAAGGTAAACCCGAGCCAAATGATGACTGGCTGGCTTAAAAAAAATTACTGTTTTCAAAGTTAGGTTTAAGGGCTAGGGATACAGCTCAGTGATAAAGCATAATCTCAACATTCAAAGAGCCTTAATAATCCCCGGCACCACACATACATGCGCCTCAAATTTAGAAGAAAAAAATTATATATATACATATACTAGTTTTATAATGTTCACTGTAGAATAAATATTGTGGAAATACTTTTCCTGAGACAAAGAAAATAAGAGGCTTTTTTCACTGGGCGTGGTGGCGCCTATAATCCTATCGTTCTGGGAGGCAGAGGCAGGTGATCTCAGTGAATTTGAGGCCAGCCTGTTCTGGTCTACAAAGCGAGTCCAGGACAGCCAAGGCTACACAGAGAAATCTTGTCTTGAATAACGGGACAAAAAGAGAGAAAAAAGAAAAGAAAAATGTTTTAAAAGGCTTTTCCCATTTAAGTAAATACAACACAAAAAAAACGTTACTATCCTACCTCAATAGTTTCACAGATTTAAAGTATTTCTAAAAATTAATCAAACAGTCCAAAAATTACTATTATGTAAAAAAAAAAAAAAAAAAACAACAAATATTTTGGCTATAAAATGAGAATGTATCCACTTGTGTGAATATACATGTGTATGCACATGGACAGGAATAAAACTTTTTCCTCCAAATAAACTTTTAGAATGAACATGTGTCTCAGTGGACTTCACAGCATCTTAAGCAACTATTGTCAGTATCACTAATCCATCTGACACAAAAGAAAAAGTTATCTAAGATACCGGAGTATTTACCCAATAAATTAATAATTCCTTCATTGTATGCTGCAAATAGTCTAATGGCATCTTTGAACAGGAGCATGAAGGCAGCATTTATTACCCCATTTGTAAGTTCATTACTATTAACCTAGAGGAAAATGGAAAATAGATTAGTTCATCTCACATTTTAAATGACACTACCAAAATGATTCCCTACTAGAATACAATAAATTAAAACATGTCAGCTTATAGAAAAAAGGGGCTTATTTTACCTATTATATATTCTATATGAATTTTCTGATTTCTTGCAATCAGAATTACAGGCAAAATCAGAATTACAAGTAAAACTCTAAGTTAAAAAAAAATCAGCAAAAAAAGAACAACTTTTGAATCATTTACAATTATGACCAAAAGTGAAAATGCCATTTACCTTCACCTCGAAATGAGTTAAAGGTACGCCTACATCTCAAGCCTCTTAGTTACAACTTTACTAAAATGCTACAGGTTTACAAAGGGTGTGTGCACCCCCCACCCCAACCCACACCATACTTAGGTGTTTCTGGTTACAAAAGCTAAAAACCTATGAGTAAGATCAAGTAAATTTTTCATAAAGTATAATAGAAAAGACACTAAAACAAGTAATTTTATAGAGACAACGTATTAAGTGAAAACCATGTAACAGAGCCTTCTATATAGACAAAATTGCTCTCTAATGCACCAGTTTCCTGTATATTCCAGAGCCAATCTTCAAAGTGTTTTTCTTCCTTTTATATAAAGAAGGACTTTTCAGCTCTGGGAATTATGTTCTCTCCTGTATTCAATCCAACACTACTACTGTAACACAAAAACAGACACAGAAGTATGCAAACCAAGCAAGAATCTGTCCATATGCCACTAGTGCTACTATGGAAACTGAAATTTTAATTTCAGAAAATTTTCAAATGTCACAAAACAAAGTTTTTAATTATATAAAAATGAAAAAAATGATAAAATGATTCTCAAGTCACTAATCATTAGTTTGATGCTTTCTAGTCTATGAAACACATGAATGTAGTGAGAATGTTGATGTCTATAAAAACCCAGTTATGTTATATAAACATGTTTGCTTTAATTCCAGGTGTGGGACATGGGCCTGCTTTAGCTATTCCACAGTAGCAGACCATCTGCCTTGTGCATGCTCTGGCAGGTGTGTGATTCTGCCAGCTGAAGACAGTTTACTTCAGGGGACACTAAAGGGGTTATAAAACGACCAGAGCCTCAAGAGAGGAGGTTCTCCTGTTCGTTTCTGCTCCTGATGCTGTTAATAGTTTGTCAAGTGATCTAGAGAAAAGAGAAGTTGGAGATATCCTGACAGACAAAGTTTGGACTTGCCCCAGGGAACTCAGTGCCCCAAATCAGCAGGAAGTAGTCTATAGAGGTCAACACCCTCTCTCCCCATTAACGTTCTGTCTCTGCTACTTGGTGTTAGGGTGTTGGAAGGGATCAGGTGGAGAAGAGTGGTAGAAATAAGATCCCAAATAGAATACATAAACAAATACACCAACACATGAGTAGTTTGCTGTACACTTAGTCAAAACTCACTACCCAAATAACATCATTTAAAAATTCCAAGGGTACAATGCCACTGGGCAACACAAAGGAACCTCCTTTTATTTCTAAATAGCTGTCATGCTTTGAGTCACCAAACAAAAGTAAAACAATGAAAACTCTGTACAGCAAAGAAATCCCTGAATTTTCAGATCTAAAATCCCTGTGAAAAGTTTCAATCAAGCACTTTCCTATTTGCCTGCTGTGGTGTATGTATCACCTATAATTCTAGCAATTGAGAAAAGTCCTACTGTTAACCAAACAATACAATAGAGTGAAAAAAAATTATGAAAACTTCAGGACAGAGCTAACCAGTTATGATGATTTCATTTTCAAAAATTTTGAATTACAAAAGTACATCAACTTACATTAAAATCAAGAAGTGCATCCATTTGATTTTGGATAATTGGTACAGTTTTTAAAAGTTTTTCTGTGTTCATTGTTCGCATAACTCCATCAGCCCTATTAAGAAAACAAACCAAAAAAAAAAAAAAAAAAAAGACTTAAATCTCCAATTTGGTTCTCTATTTAAACAAGACTATGATGAAATATCACATATTCTTAAGCAGTTATTGAACTCTAAATCTCAAGTAAGGATTATATAGAAAGAAAATAAAACCAAAAGCTAGGAACTAGTTCAACCAACAAAGGGGAGGGCTATGTATGCACAGCGAGATAGCTCAGCAGTTAAGCATACAGGCTGGTCTTCCAGAGGTTCCTGTTCTATTCCTAGCACCCATGTGGCAGCTTACAACCATATGTAATACAGATCTAGGTGATCCTAAGCCCTTTTCTGCTCTCCATGGTCATACAAAAATGGTATATACACACAGATGCAAGCAAAACACCCATACACATAAAATATTACTTTTTTTAAGTGAAAGTGAAGGGTTACATCATATAGTCTGTTGGACAAAAAGAAATGGCATGGCTCTTAATCACTCCTGTATGTAAAAGGGCAGATTTGTACTTCTTTAAAAGCAGAAGAAACAATTAGCCAGAAATCACTAAACAGTTAAGTACTACTATCACAAGTTCCAGAGCAGTCTATTGCAAAATAAAAACTTTAAAATTCTGGCAATGTGCAGCCAGTGAGGAAAGATAAAAATACTTTGGCAAAAGCCTAAGGACCAAAGTTCCATGAGCAGAATTTAGGGTGCAGGAACAGGACCAACTCCTGGGAGCTCCACACACACCATGGCACAGGCATTACAGCACTCACACAACAATAATCAATAAAATGATGGGGGAAAGGGTTCTGGCAAAGTAACTCAGCAGCAAAGTGCTAGCCTAGCATGGGCCAGGTCCTAAACAGAATCCCTAACAATAGGGAGGGATGAAGCATTACTTATTAAAACATCAAAGGCTTTTAAAAGAAAATTAATTATAAAGAAAATTCGTTTCACAAAATATAATTTTTATCAGGTCACTCTAATGTAAGCCATACCAAGAACACTGTCAACAAGTTTCAAAAAGTAACAATATTGCTTTTTTGGAACTCAGAGAGTTTAATGAAACAAACACTAGATTGCCTCAGCCAGCTATTGATCTGCTTTACTCTGGCTAGCTTCACTAACATATCCATCAAATGTTCAACATTGTTTTCTCTCATATACCACACTGGTTGACAACAGTTGCTCGAATCTGAGAGGACACAATTCCTTTCTGCAGCTTGTCTTTATTTTCGTAACTATCACACTTTTCCCAGGCAACATCATTTCTCAATTTAATCCCTTCTTGCTGATGTTTTTTTTTTTTTTTTTACTTTTTGGCCATTTCTCCATCACAGATGCCTTGAATGTGTGTCGGTCTTTTTGTGTAACTCAACACCTAAATGAACAACCAACTCAACTTCTTTATCTCTTTTAGAGTGAGTGGCCTCTTAGCTCCCAAATGAAAAAGGACAAAATTGATACCTCATTCTATGAAAATCACTTTTTAATCATACAACTATTTTGACAAATATTATTATTGTAGACATTCTCTTGCAAACACTTAAATTTTCTTGCACCTCTTTCTCCCTTGCAGTTAGTCACCAGGCAAATTCATAATCCTGGATAAATAAATAATTCATTCACATCTATACATACATACAAATAAAAAAAAAAAAACCCATAGAGGTGATGCAGTCACTGGTACAATGCTAGTCTAGCATGCACAATAAAACCTTTGATTTTTAAAAATCTTGCCACACAACCGAGCAGACACAAATTCCTAATTACCAACTTCACATAGGTAGGAAAGATTTCCACCAATCCTTATTCTTTTCTAGAGAACTCCAAAGTATCTCTAAGCCTCCTCTACTTCTGTTATCTTAGCCTACCAATGCAAACACTCACTCAAAATGTTTCATTCAGGAAAAAAGTATATTGAACAAGGTATAGGAACTAAGAAAGCAGATTCCTGATATGATCCTCTCTACTACAATCTTCTACAGAGCACCTAAATATGTAATATGAAATGTGTAGAAGTTAGTAAAGTTAAAACTATCAACTTTCCTTGATTTAAAACAGTTTTAAAGAAAAGGAGATGTTTTCATCTTTTAAATGTCTTGTCTATGTCTACATTTTTATTAAGGTTTTGACTTCAGGTCAGGTGGTGGCACACACCTTTATCCCAGCGCTAGGCAGTCCTCTGGGTTTGAGGCCAGCCTCGTCTACAGAGTGAGTTTCAGGACAGCCAAGGACACACAGAGAAAGCCTGTGTTTAGATCTCCAGGATATGGAAGTTGGAGGGCAGTTTAAATGGAAAGGCATTCACCAGAAATTTCTGCAGATGTTACACACTCACTGTAAGAACATCTTTGATGGCTCTTTACTGAGCTACCAAGATTTAGCCTAGGGAAAAAAAGCTGCCTATAAGACACTACTAGACATCAAAGTACTGGTCACATTACTTGTGTGATTAGTTCTTGTACTAATATCAGTACTCAAAATGTGGCAAAATTAAACTCACTCTTTGCATGCAAGAGCTCTTGGCTGGGAAAAGCCATCTAAATTCAATCCCTGAACACACAAAAAGGTGGAAAAGAACCAATTCCACCCCTCCTTGCACACAGGATGACAAATAATATTTGAAAATTATGTGGACTCTGTGGGCTCTGGCCCTGGAGCTACAGTCATGCCAAAGCCATCGACCTCCTTGTGGTTCACAGGTGCATGTCCTCAGTGGCAGGGCCTAAGATCCAAAGGGCCTGTAGTCCTCAGCTCCAAGCTCCTGAAATAAGTGCTCTGAAACTGAGCACACGCTTTCCCCTGTACCACAAGAACCCTTTGCCCTCTATCTAGCTATGCCTAGGTTTTGTATGAAGTGTAGAGCTGAGCAACACAGGTGAATCACCAGCAGGCATGCCAGCCCGGCCAGTTAAGCCACATCAAGAGGGGCTCTGTCATGAGTTGCACTGTGAGCATGCCAGCCAGGGTGCTCTTCAGCTCTTTTTTCATGCCTCAGGATGGGCAGGCAAAGGGAAAAACATGAAGTTTATTGCAGCCACACAATGCAATGAGTGGAGGCTGCATCCATACTTTCACATTCATCTCAACTCTTGTACTATTATGGCATTTTAGCTTCTCAAAAAATAAAAGCAAAATAATAAAGAGCTGGAAAGAAAAAAAAAAAGAGAGAAAATAAAGAACTGGCGATTCCCCTTCCTCTCCCCAACCCTTAGATTAGAGGCACTTGCAACTACAACCAGCTACAAATAGTAAAGGAAGGAACAGAAAGATATTCTATGCTTATTAAAAGATATTATGCTTATTAATTGCCACCTATGCTACAGGTGGCAATAATCCCCAACAGAACTACACATTAAGTGTGGTTCCTATTTTTATAATCCTGGCTGCAAGTCAAGCCAGGACTCAGGAGGCAGAAGCAGACAGTTCTCTTGAGAATTCATGCCCAGCCAGGGCCACATGAGAGCCAAACAAACTAGTTAAAATTCCTGCCTACTTTGTCTACCAAATCCTCAAACTGATGTGGAACTTGAAGGTGAACAGAACAGATGAACATAATCAATTGAGTGGACATGAGATAGAGACTGGGGCAGGGGAAGAAACTCTAGGAAATGAAACCATACACAGTAGGGCTGTCACATCATTTTGTAAACATACTAAAAATTACTTAGTTATAAATTTAAAAGGATGAATTTTTAATGACAACTATAACTCAATAAAGTTGTTATAAAAACAAATAGAACTTTTAAACTATAAAACTGGGTAAAGTTCTATAACTCACAATGTCCTGTTTTATATTATTAGATATTTGAATTAGAAACGAAAACATAACTCACCCTCTCTTCACTTTTGTGAAATCGAATGCAACTTGTCTGTATGAAACTGCTTTTTCATTTAAATATCTACTATACCGTCTAATAAATGTAGACATATCATATCCTGTAAAAGAAAGCTTTCATTAATGATTAAAATTCAAAGCTATCTATAAAAAGAACTTTATTATTCAACAGCAAAAAATATCTCAACTACCTTTATGATGTAAATTAAATAAGTTATTTTATTATAACCAATTATTATTTATAAGTTATTTAAAGTTCTTCAAAAATTTTAGTCATTTTTAAAGTGAGGTATATTATAAACAGCTTTAAAATTTTTTCCCTTACAATTTCACTAAAAATAAGTCGATTTTGCTTCTTCTGACCACGTGTCTACTCTTTTACTTTTTAAGAGTTAGAAAAACATGTTCCCTCAGATTATCAGAGGTGGTGCCCTTTAATCCCAGCACTTGGGAGGTAGAGGCAGGCAGATCTCTGAATTTGAGGCCAGCCTGGTCTACAAAGTGAGTTCCAGAAACCCCCTATGGGGCAGTTGGAGGGCGAACAACACAGCACACCTCAGAACTCAAACATAACCCAAAGAATCCTAATTGCACCCCTCAAATCAAATGAAGTTTCTATTTTTATACTTGTAAAACCTTTAGCTGTGTAATATTTAGGACAAGTGTAACTCACATGTGCCAACCTTGTAAGAAAGATGAAAAGCACTGCCCAGTAAAAAAAAAAACAGCAATATGTATATTGAAGGCACAGTCAAAACAATTTCATAAATATTCTCAATAAAACCTTCCAAAGTTGTATCAGTTACTCTTAATACTGTTTTATCAGGGTCAGGAACATAAAACTTATCAGTGTTATTTTTTAGATTCCAGAAACCTTATATTTTAGCTACTGTCTGGACCAAGGTCTATAAATGTTAGCTCCTTCAGAAAAGCAGATCAGTCTCTTTTAACTCAGCTTCATCAAACAGATTTAACTTGATCTTCTGCTTTATAAAACAATATTAACACACACATACATGCACAACTAGATTTGGTATTAACATTTATCTGCAAATGTTTATTGACCCTGTACTAAAAAATTTGAACAAAATAGTAATTAGAAAGAAAGAAGGAAAGGAAGGAAGGAAAAGAAAGAAAGAGAGAGGGAGGAAGGAAGAAAGAAGGGAATAAGGAAGAAGGAAGAAGGAAGGGAGGGAGGGAAGGAAGAAGGAAGGAAGGAAGAAAGGAAGAAAGGAAGGAAGGAGGGAAGGAAGGAAGGAAGGAAGAGCCAGGTGAGACAGAGAGAGTGTGTGTGTACATACACGTGCACTTCTGGCCCCTGCATACATGTGGCGGCCAAAGGACAACTCGCAGAATTCTTTCTTTCTACCACATGGGTCTGGGAAATCAAACTAGGGGTTGGGTTTAACAATAGTCACCTTTACCTACTGGGCTATCTCATGAAGAATATATATATAAAGTGGGCAGAAATGCTAAACAACTAATCAATAAAAGGAATAAATAATAAAGGAATAATTAATAAAACTTATCTTCATAAAAGGAATAAAATCTAGAAATCTTTACCATTAAATTTACTTAATTTCTGTGTCTTAAAAGATGGCTCAGTGGTTAAGAAGCATGGATGTTCTTCCATAGAACCCAGGCTTAACTCCCAGCATCCACATGGTAGCTAATTCCAGTTCCAGGGGATCTGATACCTTTATCCAGCCTCTATAGGCTCTGGAAACATATGGTACACAGACATACATGCAGGCTAAACACTGATACACATAAACTAAAAATACAAGTTAAAAATTAAAATGAAATAATTTATTTTTCACCTAAAAATTAAAATGAAATAAATTTACTTAATTTTCACCTTTTAAAAATATTTATTATGTATGAGTTTTTATTTTATTTATTATGTATGCTCTAGCTGCATGTATACCTGTACACCAGAAGAGGGCACCAGATTTCATTATAGATGGTTGTGAGCCACCATGTGATTGCTGGGAATTGAACTCAGGATCTTTGGAAGAATAACCAGGACTCTTAACCTTAATTTTCATCTTAAAGATATAAAAATTAGTAACTAAGACAGAAAACAAAACAAGTGAGTATATTTATAGGCTCTATAGCCATGGCTTGCATAGCTCCCCCCCGCCCCCGCCCCGACTTAAATAAGAGCTATGAAGCAGCAATTTAAAAGATCTGCAAACAAAGCTGGCTATGCTTGGGTTCTGCCTATAATCCCAGTATTCAAGAGGCTAAAGTAAAGGAGTGCTATAAAGTGCAGGCCAGAAACTGCTTGTTTAGCATCTTATTTTGTGTTGCTTACAAAGCAACACAAAATAAGATGCTAAACAAGCAGTTTCTATCTTCCTATCCATCTGTTTTAATAATTTTATTACAAAAGCGGGTGATTTCCCCCTTAATATGTTCCTCTTATTAAAAGAAATTAAACACGAGGGGCTAGAGTAAGGTGGCTCAGAGGTTACGATCACTTGCTCTTCTTAGAGGACCAGAGTTCCCAGCACTCACATCCAGAGGATCACAATCACCTCCAGCTCCATGAGATGATACCTCTGCCCTCATCTGGCTTTCAAGCAGACCTGCATACAGGTGTGCATACAAACATGCATGCACACGCGCACACACACAAATGGGTAAATCTCTTTGACTACACTGCATTCTATTCACTTTGCCTCTGTAAGAACCACAATCCAGAAAGGCCCTCATTAACTTGCCAGTGGGACAGAGGAATAACTAGTATAGTCTCAACAGCTTCAAAAAAATTGAAGTCTATTCTGATCCAGTTTGATCTAAGGCTGCTTCCCTTATAGCACACACTTTCTTCTGCCCATCCCAACACACACACACACACACACACACACACACACACACACACTACTTTCCCATTACAACATTTAACCCCACCAAAATCTTTTAAGTTTGGTTTGTTTACCTCTACCTGGTTCTCCAAAGTGCCATGTATACATTCAGTTCATACTCAATTTACCTATCAATCTTAAGTATTTCACATCCTTTCACAGCTTATACACCTGTAAAAGTGTGCTTAAACTAAGTAATTTCTTCCACCTCTCAAAGCCCTGCATAGGTCTCACCTTCTCTGAAGATACTTCCCAGACTGAACCTCACTGTTAATGTTCCCAAGTAGCTTAGCAATCATTTATGCAGTCAATCATAGCTCTGACAGTCTATAATATTAATGCCCTAGTTCTCAAAGTAAGTACAATAGATCCAGTTAGACAGAAGAACATGACAGCTACAACCAAAACATAATTTAAAGTCACTTGATTCAAAATGAAAAAACGGACCTGTTAGAAAGAGAAGTGCAGGAGTTATTGGGTAGGAGTGCTCAACTCACAATCTATACTTGTGTAAACGTGTTGTTCTGTATCACAGTGCCATATACAATGAATATATAAACTGAAAAACCCTTTACAGTTAAAAAAAAAGGAAAAGCCATGTTACCAATGTCATTACTACTATACTCAACTTTGTCCCTACAATGTATAATGTCAACTATATTTCTTGCAATAAAACAAAACCAAAGAGCAGAAATAACAATTAAGTAAGTATTTGTTTAGTGTTTCCTATGTGCCAAGCATTACTCTAAGCACTTTAGGGTTATTTATAACTAGCTTAAGGCACATAATAACTACTAAGCAGGGACTATTATCATTGCTAACTGTATACACAACAACAAAGTAAACTTGATGAAGTCCGTCTGCAGAGCTGTAAATGGTGAAAAGTAAATTCAAACCCAGGCAGTCCAGCTCCAGAATCCTCATTTGCAAAGAAGTATCCTGTAATGACTCTCATAGATTCTGGTGCTAATAATGAAATCAATGTGGATTTCATATTAAAAGACATTCATTAAAACATGATTTGAAGCATCAATATGTTAATATAGTTGAATGCTGCAGTAATCATTATATGAGGTTACTCTTGATTTTCTAGAAAAAAAAATTGTCTTTACCTTGCAATCCACTTTTATCCAAAAAATTGCTTAGATTAAACAATGTGTTTCTTGAAGCCAAATACTGAATGAAACGCTGGAAAACAAACAATTAAAATAAATTATGGTGCTGCCATTTTACAAACTTTGAATTTGAAAGTTGGAGGAAAGTGATGGTTAACTTATTTCGGTAAGCTTATTGCAATTTCCCATCCTCACTCTCATTAGTTACCAAACATAAAAACATAGTAATTTTCACTAGTATATATACTTATTACAACTTTTTGATCATAACTACAATACTAAACTCAAATAATTAAATGAATTAAGCATTTATAAACTATAATCACTAATTCTGACTTTACTGCAGCGAAGTAGAACACAAGGAAGTATAATCAGATCAGATCTGCACTGTCTAACTCATTCATTTATTCTGTTGGTGTTATGGCACGCCATGGCACACATGTACAGGTCAGAGAACAACTTTTTGGAGTTAGTTCCATTCTTCTACCATACAGGTTCTAAAGATCAAATTTAGATCTTCAGGCTTGGCAGCAAGTGATTTCACCTGCTGGCCTGTCTCGGCAGCTCTGCTATATGCATTTTTTTTTTTAAGGACAGGACCTCAAAAATTATTTCACACCGTCTCATCTTAAGCCCTTGGACTCTAGTGCTCCAAACTCAGGTCCTCATCCTTGCAGAGCAAACACTTTACTCCTGTACCTGAATTTTGGGGGAATTACTAAGTCCCCAGTTTTTATTATTTTTTTTTAAATAAAATATTCCTAATCATATAAAAGAATGCTAAAGACACGTCCTCACACACTGGCTAGATTAAACACATTAAAATACTCACTTCATAGTTTATGATACAATCACAACATCATAGACTCCACTGAAATGCAATCTTGAATCTGATTCCCTCCTTGCCTTCTCAAAGGTGACTACTTTGCTGAAGCAGGCATAGTTTCCACATACTTTTGACTATGTATACACACCCTGATAGATATATTCTATCTGAAATTTACAGTCTAAGTGTTATGCACTCCTAGGATTCAGGAGCCAAAGAATTGGAGGCAAGGCCTGGCTACAGCAGAAAAGTAGGTTAGGTATGGTGGTACACTTAAGATTCCAAAGGTCAGGACATTGGCACAGTTCAAGGATAGCCTAGGCTATAAGGTGAGTTCTAGGCAAGCCAGGAATGCACAGTAAGACTTTTTCTCAAACAAATAAAACACTTTTAAAAATTATTTTACACAAATACGATACAGTACTTACTTTCTTTTCCAACATTCCAACAGTTTCATTCATAGCTAGTCCCTCCCAAAATTCTCTATTAACAACACACTGACATCTTTGTACTTAGTATCCTCATATAAAACACTGTTGGGAGGTACTTCAGACAAGACTATTAGGCTGGCATTTATAAAAGTTCACCTTTTCAAAATGCTCTCCAATGTGACCACAGTACATTGGTATCCTAACTCGCCGTACTTTCTATACAATTCCAGACACATGGATGGAAATAAATGTCTCTCACTTGACTTCTTAGGGTTCCCTTTCCCCTCCCCACTGTTTTAATACATGTAGTAGCTTACCAGAAACTACTCTATCACCCTATCTGATTTTGTTCACGAGACCACCCCAAATTGGCAAGCAAGCATTTAAGAGCAATTTATAAATGACTCATTTCATCCTCATCCTGAAACAGCCTATTTTAGAAACATAAAGGTATTATGACATAATCAGCATAATTTTTATAGGCTTTTAAAATAATTTTTCTACCCTTCATACTGTAGTAACATTTTACTATAGTGTATCAAGTCATTTCACAGGTCATTATGATATTATCATAATACTGACAAGAAATGTAAAGCAAGCAGAAATGACTTGCTCAAGTCACTTAGCTATAATAAAAAAAAAATAGCATAGAAATATCTAGCCATCTCATGTCAAGACCCTATGATACAGAATCAATCTTCAGAGATTTTCCTGTATCCAGGTTTCTCCACCTTAACACTAGAGGCAATTGGGAGCATTCCTTGGTTTTATCCTATATAACATAAGGAATAGTCATGAACCCCATGAATCAAAATAGTAGCTTTCCTCTAGTTGTTCTGAGGGTAAAACAAATGTTCTGAGGATGAAATTATTCCTTTCCATGTTACCATTCTATGGTATTCCATCACCACAACATAAAGGAACCCTACCTACAGCTTCTCACAGTATACACAGAGTTGTCAATTGATTAAACTGAGTTGAGGGAAAAAGAAAGAAAGGAGGGCGGGTAGACGGTGGAGGCAAAGCAAGGCACTTATCTTAGCTGCTTTAAGAAATGTAACAGAAGTTTGTGTAGAAAGCACATTGAAATGCTATCTTTCTCCTCCTATCTGCTGGCCAACTGTCAGAAAGAACAGTCAACTTTCTATTTTGCCTTTATCAACACTGATCTGCACTACTACTGCCTCATTTACAACATCTGAAAACTAGCACTGATACTTTGCCTCTTTGCCTGGCATTATAGTTGTATTTAGTTACAAAACTACTGAAATTCTTCAGAATGAATATCTGTAAGCAAACACACTTGTGATAAAAGTAGAAACTATTATTGTAGCTGGGGTCAAAATGTTTTGCGTTGTTTAAGCCAGCATTTCAACATTTCAACTGGATCGATGAAATGGCTGCAATGAGCTTAGAAGCGCCTGGGTAGGACATGTCCTTAAAAACTGTTGCATGATCAACTAGTACACATTTTAGGCAGCACTTGTAGAAAGCATTTTTAAAACTACAAACAAATCTCGATGTGGTATATATTATATGCATAATCTGAAAGCTAAATTTCCAGTATGAGTATAGTTTAAAAAAAACAACTATGTGACAATGATAAACAATTCGGAACATGGTGATTCTCATAAGCATAACACACAAAAAAGCCAAATACAGCATTATATCCTAAGTATGATTATTGCTACCAAACAAACAAACAAACAACACACACACACACACACAAGAATTTTTAGACAAGAACCAGAAAGGAATACCAAAATGCCAGGAGTTTAAATTTGTTGGAACGATATAGCTGCAGGAAAATTCCTCTTTAATTCTAGATTTTAGTAATGCTGCATTGGTATTTCTCAAAGAGGAAAGTTTCTGAAAAGCTTAAGATAATAAGTAAAAAATGACAGATTGTCAGAAAACCATGGTGCTCACACAAGAAAGCCTTCTCCTCCATGTGAGAGCCATCTTGGGCCGCATCTTTTCTTTCAAATTTTACCAATGTAGATTTATCTAGTTTCACTCAATTATTTCACATTAGCTTCATTAAACACAACTTTACAAGTACTGTATGTAGCTGAAAACAGTTAAAAAACAGTGACTGCTAGGCTATTGTGGAAAAATCCTCAAGAGCCTGTAGGCTTTATGGTCACCCCTCAGAGCAACAAAAGCACCAGGAACCCCTCTCTATGATGCAGACATTCTTTACTCCCTCTCAGAAAAACAACACTTAGTACTCAACAGTATAACCCTCTGCCAGGCAAAGTACCACAAGACAACCACATTCAGTCAGAGAGAAATTCAATGAGCTTCTGTAACAATATCCAAACAGATACAGAGTTTATAAGTGAGGACTGGGAAGACCAATGCTGCTTCTTGATTTCATTATTAAAGCCTTATGTGCTCTGATCTACGTTCTATTTTCTAGTTTATTTGCCATTTTTCTTCAAGTTTGCAGGATCTAATTTTTTTCTTTTTGGCTATGCAACTTGCCCCTACATTTAGCTCCAAGAGTTATCACCAAAGTTTCAACAAGAAAAGCAAGTTAAATAATCAGTAATCACACCAATACACTTATCAGTCAAAGGTTTTTCCCGAGCTGGCAAGTAATGGTACTTGCCCTGCAAGCCTGATGACTTGAGTTGCACCCTTAAAGCCCAACCTCCCACACCATACAATTACAAACAAAACACTTAAAAAAAAAGTTGTTCTTACCTCATTTCCATACACCATCAAATGATGAGTTGTAATGAGTGATTTGAAGACCACCACCCAACTACTGTTAGTAGTTCTTTCAAACAAACTGTCTGCCAACTGCGGGATGTTCACATTCATCTCATTTGTACACTGAATTAAGTCTGTAATGTAAAAGAAGAGATTAATTTATTCTCTGGTTTTAATTTAATGCTAGTGCCAGATTTGCATAGTAACAAGTACAAAAAAAATCTACCAAAGTCGAATAGTTTGGACAAACTGTTAAAATTCTTCCAAACGGTCTGGCAAGATGGCTCAGCAAGTACTTGTTACCAAGCCTGATGGCCCAAATTCAATACTTAGAACCCATAGGGTATGTGAGACCTACACATTCACACATCTTTCAAAAGAAATCACACATGTAGAAGCTTGGGCAGAAAGTAGGCTGGCTACCTGTATGAGTGTCTGCTCTACAGTGCTGTTTACAATAACAGGAGAGGAACATAGGTTTCCAAATTAAAAATTAGTACTACTGTTAAGGATATATCTAAATTCCAATTTTATTTTATTTATTGTTTCTTTTTGAGACAGGGTCTCTCATGTAGCCCTAGCTGTCCTGGAATTGACTATTTAGATCAGGCTGGCCTCCAACTCACAGAGAACTCGCCTGCCTCAGTGCTGAAATAATGGCATGTGCCACCACACTAGGCCTAAATTCCAATTTGATTTATTTCAAACTCAAAGGCATTATTATACAATAGTCTAGCACAAAACTGTTTGATTACCCAAATTGGAAAAAAAATAAAGTTCCTAATGGCCCTCAAAGTTTTACTTATAATCTGCTTTAAAAATTTTAGTGGCAAATTCAATATAGGAAATCCAAACTACGGTCCAATTTAGAGAATAAAGTAGTAGACCCAGAAATGACTTGCTTTACTTTTAAAACATTTATCAAATATGAAGTACATATAAATCTCTCAGCTATAATGATTATTAAAATTTGATATATAACTATTCATGACTGATTAATAATTTGTTCACTTTTACTGTTCAGTTCAAAATGGTTAAATAGGAATTCAGATTACCTAACTTGGCCTTGACTGCTTTCAAAAAAGCTTACAATTCCTTATGTTTGCTTTAGTAGAACCAATTAATAACATTTACTAAGCAACTACCCAAGCCAATACTGCTTGAAGATCAAAGCACCAAAACAATTTAACAGAAAGCCTACAGAACAGCAGAATAATGAAAGCTTTCACAACTCAGATCAATTTTTAATTAAATTTTATTTTTTATATTAATTAGCTTATTCACTTTGTATCTCAGCTGTAGCCCCTCCCTCCCCCCTCCCAATCCCCCCCTTCCTCCTTCATCTCTTCCTATGCCCCTCTCTAAGTCCAAGGATAGGGGAGGTCCTCCTCCCCTTCCATCTAACCTTAGCTTATCCCATCTCATCCAACAGATTAATTGTAAAAAACAAACAAACAAACAAACAAAAAAACAAACAGTAAATTCAGTTTGGGTGTGTAGCCACTTCTGGGAGTTTAAAAAAGGAAGGAATCCAAATCAACTGTCTCTGGAACTTGGTATTACTTTATACCTGTTCTACCGTACTGAATGCCTACTGCTTGCTTTATTCCAGATACAATCTGCTGAGGACAAAGCCTATCTAGGACTATTACTTTATTTCTTTAAAAACTGGGTCTCCCTATATAGCCAGGCTGGCTCTCACTCATGATCCTCCTGGTCTGACCTGATCCTTAGTCTTAAGAAACTAAACTTCTAGTCAGTTCCCCTTCCTCCCACTCAGCTTTATATCCTACATTTTTTTTTCTATATTCTTCCAGAAGATATCTTGAAAAACTACTCAAGTTCTGAAGTATAGTAAATTACTTCTTCAAAATATTAATTTTTTTGCTTGGTGTTGTATGTGATTTGTGCACATGTTCATTTGGATATGTGAGCAAGTGTATACAACGTGCATGTATGTGGGCATAGGCCTAGGCTAGAGATCAATGTCAGGTACCTTATCTTTCAGTGCTTTCCATGCTGTTTGAAATAGGGTTTCTCACTGAATCAGCTAGACTGGCTGGCAAGCAAGCCCTAGAAATCTTCATGCCTTAGTATCCCCCAGCCTTGGGATAAAGGTGCCCATCTCTATGCCCAGATGTTTACATGAGTGTTGGGACCCAAATTCAAGTCCTTATACTCTTATAGCAATCACTTTACCCTTTCCCCATCCCCTTTGGAATCTATTTTCAGAGTTGAATCTACCATCAAACTGCCCAAAAAGTGTTCCTACTTCTTGCACAGAATGCTCTACAAAGCAACCAACTTAAATAATACCCCCACTGACAGCATGGGACAAGGCACTGCACTTCTACTACTATCTCCTTTCATCTCAGCCGCCAACAAAGAACACCTTTCCAGTGTTGTGTGGTATAGTTCGCTATTTCATGCCTGAATCTTTCCATTCTAGTTCATTATTTAAAACATTACTTTTTAATGAAGATTTCCCTTCTATAAACTATAGTACCCTGCAACAAAGTCACTGAGACTGGTACATACTAATTCTATACTACAGAACTTTCTTCTATGCTGAATTGACTTCCAAATCATTTTGTTCTACTAATCACCTTAAAAGACACCTCCATTTTTTTATTCATCCAAGATAAATAGCTACGGTCAAATAAAAAAGCCTAGTTTTCAGTAAGAACAAATTTCAGGTTCCACTACAATGCACCCCCTTATGATCTGCTTTTCCTGCACTGTTTCAGCTATTCCAATGTCTTTCTTTACAATTTCTTCACAAATGCCAAACATTGTTTAACTCAAGATGTCTGGCACTGCTTATCCTTCTACTTGGATGCTCTTCTCCAGGATATATGCCTTCTCACATTCTTCCTATAGACCTTGCTAAATGTTACATTTATTGGATAAGCTTCTTTGAATATTAATTCTTATTAACAAATCCTTAGGGCACTTCTGTAACTCTATGCCATCATTAGCTAGTCCACTGTGTACCTGTTGCTATTTAACTCATCTCAACGTCTGTCTTTCTCTTAGTTTTTGGGTGAACAGAGTTGTTTTGTTCTCCACTATTTCCCAGAGGCCTGAAACAATGCCACACATACAATGGTCACTCATCTTGGGATATGTTTATTCACTTTCTTTTTTGAAGACATATCCAGCTATTTGGCACTGGGCTCACCCAACAGTCCCATGTAGATCAGGCTGCTCTCCAACCTTCTGCCTGTCCCCCAAGTATGGGAATTATAGCCATATGCTGGGTGCATACGTATACTTTAAGAAAGCACCCGGCTGGGCTCGGCAGTACAGGAAGGAGGGATGCCAAAGGTCAAGGCTGGCTACAGAGAAAAGTTAAGGCCAGTCTGAGCTATTGTGAGACCCTATCCCAAAAAGGGGAAAAAAGAAAAGAAAAGAAAAGAAAAAGGGAGAAAGGGAAAAGATGAAGAGATACATAAGGAGGGAATAGGGAAGAAAGGAAGCAGGATAAAATCATCCATCCAAAATGGTGCTTCTTAGCTATAAAAAACCAATGTTACAATTATTTGTTCTTCCTAAAAATTTTAAAAACAAACTCTTAACAAGCCATTTTTAAATTTCAAGTTAAAGAACATCTAACAGGTTTTCACTATAACCCTTATGTACTCTGGTTGGGTGAGAAACAATCACATGGAAAAAAGGGTAGTTCCAGAGGCTACAAGGTAATATTTCACATAGAACAAAACAAGAAAAAATAAGTAAGAATACATGATAAGACTATGTACCAGAACAGACCAAATGCAAAACTAAAGTTACCCAAATATTACTAGAGTGAGAAACTGTATAAGCTCTGCTGTGTGTATTTCCCCATAGTTCCTTAATTCAGCTAGTCACTTTGTTCATATAGGTAATTTTTCCTCTGTATGAAATTTCTACCATAATATCAACTTAAAATGCTTCCAATTCTGAAAGGGAAGTACTTTTTCCAATTGTGATTAATCAAAAAACAAACTTCCAAATAAATTCATTTATGAGAATTTCAATGACTATTGCTTGCCCCACTTTAAATCCAAGATATTGTATATGTGTTTGTGTTTGTGTGTGCGTGTGTGTATGTGTGTGTCCCTGGCTGGCCTGGAACTTACTATGTAAATCAAGCTAACCTCCAACTCCCAAGTACTGAACTTAAAGGCATTTATCAACCAATCCCAGCCCAAGAAAATATCTCTTAAAGGTAAAAACTCTATAACAAAGTTGACACACATAACACTGAAGTCCTTCGTCGGCATTTCATTAACAATTCCCAAACCCTACACTCAAAAACTACAGACAAGACATAGTTTAATGTCATGAAGAAAACAGTGAGTACCACTTTTCTGACAGAAAGTTGGTAGAATCAGTTACCAAATATTAATACATTCCCTCAATAACTATTTAACTATAATTGGCATCTGAGAAACCAGATGTTAGTTCTATTAATATAGGCAATGCTTTCTGAAAGGTAAGGAGGTCACAGGAACTCACTACTATGTGACAGATTTATGTCTAGAACTAAAGGACAAGGACATTTAAAAATCCATAGAAAGTATGTCCAGGTACTCTGTATGTATGTATGTAGACCAGGTGAACCTTAAACTCATGATCCTGTCTCAGCACCCTAAGCACTGGGCACTGATTACACCCTAAGCTCTGATTACAGGTGTGTATTACCATACTCAGAAGCAACAACTGAATTTAAATCAAGTTCTAAATTGTAAATACTTAAAAAGAATAAGAAAAATAGTATGAACACAACAGCACAACAGTCTGTTTCAGAGAAAAAAATTTTTTAGAACATACAAAAAAAAAAAAAAAAAAAAGGTTACCAAATGGTTTAATTTAGCTTATAATCAAATTCCTAGTCCAGGCCACCAGCCTACGTAGACCATCTTACACCAACTTCAACAACCTCAGAAACTTAAGCAAAGACATTCAGTATTCAAGTCTACAGTAAAGCAGCTAAGTAATGCCAGTCAGTGGCATTCAAAACTAAAATGCAAAGGTCAAGTTCCCATGTAAAAATAGCCACTCAGTGGACAGTATTAAAACAACTCTGATAAACAAGTAAGATTTTTCTAACATATGTGAGCTTGGCTAAGAATATGCCATGCTTTTTAAG